ACCTGGTGTTGTGCCGACAGGCAGGGCACTCAAGGAAACAACTCACCGGTCATAGAATAATAGGAACAGTTTAAACAAAGACAATCCAACACATCGGATACAGATTTATGGGATGCAAAAGAAAATGAGCAAGGCATCAAATCCTGACTGCCCCGAGAGACAGAACTGTGGCTAAGCAGAAATCCCTCCCCCACGGCCCCCTCACGCTCCACCCCCAGCCCACAGGGCAGCTGGGCAGCCCCGGTGCAGCCGATCCCACAGTCTCAGGGACCTGCCACAATTCCTATGGGTGTGTCCATCCGCAGGGGAAGCTGCGGGGCAGCTCCAAGAGACTCCCGCTGGCCAGACTCTGACCAATAAAGCCGGCTTTAGGCCAGGCCTGGCACTGTCCAGCCATTGGGCAAGTTGGCCACCCCTGGAGCGCTGGCCAGGTGCCCTGGCAGGGACAAGGGTGGAGGGCACAGAACGGCTGCACACACCTGGCCTGCCTTTCTCCAGCAACACTCACACCAACTGCACACTTCAGCCAGGGCACCTGAGCACAGACAGCCTTCACCCTGTTCCTCAGGGGCAGCAGCCCCTGGGCAGCAATTCTCGGGGAACTTCTCATCCTTTCCCTTTGGTCCTTTGATCCCTGGTCAGGCCAGAGACATGCAAGAAACAACTTCTTGGGGTTGATACCATAGACAACAACTCCATATTGTTCATAAAATCAGTGTAATTACTATGATTAGTGGATGGAATAAAGTGTTCTAAAACTTCCTATCGGTGAGAATGCTGTAAATATGTCCCCCCAGAGGTGAGCAGTGAGTTGTTCTACCTGATGCCCAAAGGTCACCAATGGACCCCCTCTATTTACTGTTTGCATTTGGTGATCAGGTCAAGTCTTATGGAGCCACACTCGAGGGGGCCAGGTAAACATGCCCTGCCTGCCCTGCCCAGGGAAAGGGAACTGACCCCAGTGTTCCTCAGCACAAGGCAGCCCTTGGAAATATCCACTGCCCTTCCACAGTCAGGCACAGCAATAAGCACTCCACAAGGCTGCTGTGGCAGAGGACCAATCTGAAGCTCAGCTTTTCTCTGTACCACTTCACCTTGTTTGCCACCTCATCCTATCGTCAAAACTTGCTGTCCTTGCACCTTTTTAGGCTGACCATCAGTTGAAGAGGCCTCTGCTCCAGCACCCACAAGGGCCTGAGCCCTTTGACAAGATCCATTTTTCCAAGGAATTCAAAGCTCCACCTGAGGGCCATGGGCTTTTCTCACCCACCCTTGTGCTGGAGCTTGGCCTTCATCTCACTCTGCCTTCACTTCTTTCAGTGGCTGCACCATTTCCTGCCCTGCCTGGGCTGGAGCTCGGCATCCTGATCCCATCCCTGCCGGCCCCCGGTACCGCTGACTCAGCAATGGGGGGCCCTCCATTGCCAAGTGCACGGTCCCGTCGGGGCTCACGGGGGGAGCAGGAGGTCGAAGGGCTCCAGCCCTCCTGGGACAACCTTCCACCACTACAGCCAACAAAGGAGCCTCTCCAGCCCTGCCTCCGAAGGCATCCTGAACAAACCCAGCCCAGCTCCACGGGACAAACTGCTCCCTGTCTGCCCAGTCTAATCTGATCCCAGAGGCTCCCAGCTCATGCAGCCCAACTGCCCAGGAGATCACAGACTCTCTGGCCTTTGCTTTTAAACCTCTTCATAACACCAGGAAGTTCAGGCTGAGTAAAATCCTCCACCACATCAGGCCTGACGGGATAACCATCCGGGTCACCTTCCACTTTCCCTCCTGTTATTGGCTGTGCTTCAGCAAACACTTCACCCTCTGAACCACGCTCAAAAGCAGCTAAATCCCAAGCATCTCCATCCCAGTTTTTGGGATCCCAACCCATCCCTGCCTCTGCACTCACAGCATGCACTGGTTTACTTGACCACTTCGCTTCTCATATTTATATTGGGCTACCTGGAGAGTCACTTCTGCTACTGTTTGACAACTGTCCAACCTGGCCCTTCATAGGCCACAACCGTTTTCCTTAATTCCTTAATTCCAATCCCACACTCCTTTTGCAGTTGGAGCACCACTTTTATAACCCAGTTACAGTCCATTCCGGAGCTCCATGGCCAGGACAGACAGCTACACCTCTGATACTCTCAGGAATGCCTGAATCCATTCCAGGGACCTTGCTTTCAGCTCCCCAGCTTGGGGCACTTGGAGGAGCTCCCCGAAGAAGCCTTTCAGTGCGTGCCGGAGTCCTCCGAGTGTCCAAGCCCGGGGGGCAGCAACAGCACTGTCCCTCCAGGGGGGCTCAATCTGCCCCCGAAATGCAGGGGGATCCTGCCCGTGTCCCAGACTGCTCCGGGGATCTGAGGGCCTTCCCGAGAACATCTCGGTGCCGGCGTGAAGGCCCAGAGATCCCTGGGAACCATGGGAGAGCAGGCTGAGAGTCCCTGCTGGGGGTACAATTTGGCTGCCTCAAAACAGCTCGGCAAAGAAGCCTCTAAACTCAGCTGGTGAGTTTTAGAAGCCAGGCATTCCTTGCTGACAACACCCTGCAGTGATCCCAGCCCACCAGGGGTCCTGGCCATCAGCTCCCACACTGTACACAGAGGTGCCTCCACTGCAGATGATGGGAGGGCTCAGCATTCCGTGAGGGTTCATTTTGTTCCCTGCATTCCTGTTCCACGCTCAGGACATTCCCCAGCACTTACAACCATATACACTTACCCTGATAAGGTTTCTGAGGGGCTTCATCAAGGGGTTTACAAGGTCTTCTCTGTCTGGAGCATCCAAAGTTCTGAGTGCCTGCCCGAGGAACCTCAAGACAACTCACCTGCTGACAGAGGAACTCACCTGCTTGGCTGCTGCCTCAGTTCTCTTCTTCCTTGTTTCTTCACGTCACTGGGTTAGTCCCTTTCAATCCTCTGGCTCAGCTCTGTGCAGTTTCCATAAAACAGCCCCCTGCAAAAAGTATCAGCTCTTGTTACACCTCAAAACTCAGACAGCATCCCCCCTTTTTTCTTGACACTTGGATACGGAGGTTAGATAGCACCCCCCTGTCAAACTGCCTCCCTGCAAAAAAGGAGTAACGTTTCCTGGACACTTCACCCACAGTCAAGGTCTTTTGAAGCTGCTGTCATGCCACAAAACCTACTCAGGGTCCCTCCCAGCTTCTGTCTCTCCCTGGATTTAAAAGGCACATGCATATTCCACCTTCCAACAGCAAAACCCAGTTCCTCACTGGGAGTATAACCCCTGCTCTTACCAGTACAAACTCCCAGGCTCGGCACAGCTGTGGTCGCAGAGTAGCTTTCCAAGGTCCTCTCTCCCAGCAGGAAGTACAACTTGCCACGCTCCACCAGCAACAGGGGAAACCACGAGGAAGGCTGGAAATTGACACAGAACGAGCATTAAGTCAGCACCAAAAAACTGAGTTAGAGCAGCCTTTGCCTCATAACCACGCACTGGGAGAGGCTCTGGGATTTCAAACTTGACACACCCAGAAAACAACAGCCCCTCAAGCCTTGCCATGGCTCCCCCCAGGGCTTCCTGGCAGGTAATGGGCATAACCAGCCCCGCTGCCCAGCATAGCGCACAGCCAAACACAGCGCAGCTCCCCCGTTCCACGAGCACAGAGCACACGGCGCTCTCCCCCCAGCCCAGCACAGCACGGCCCCAAACACATCCCAGCTCCCCCGTTCCACGAGCACAGAGGACACGACGCTCTCCCCCCCGAGCACAGAGGACACGGTGCTCCCCCCCAGCCCAGCCCAGCCCAGCGCGGCCCCAAACACGGCCCAGCTCCCCCAATCCACGAGCACAGAGGACACGGCGCTCTCCCCCTAGGCCAGCACAGCGTGCAGCCAAACACACCCCAGCTCCCCTGTTCCACGAGTGCAGAGGACACAGCGCTCTCCTGCCAAGCACAGAGGACACAGTGCTCTCCCCCTGAGCACAGAGGACACGGTGCTCTCCCCCGAGCACAGAGGACACGGCGCTTTTTCCCCACAGCCCAGCATAGCGTGGCCCCAAACACCGCCCCGTTCCGCCGTTCCATGAGCACAGAGGACACGGCGCTTTCTTCCCCCCCCAGCCCAGCACAGCTCCCCTGTTCCACGAGCACAGAAGACACGGCGCTCTCCCCCCCAAGCACAGAGGACACGGCGCTCCACCCCCAGCCCAGCCCAGCACGGCCCCAAACATGCCCCAGCTCCCCTGTTCCACGAGCACAGAGGACACGGCACTCTCCCCCCCCCTGCAGCCCCAAACACGCCCCAGCTCCCCCATTCCATGAGCACAGAGGACACGGCACTCTCTCCCCAGCCCAGCACAGCACAGCCAAACACCACCCCAGCTCCCCCCTTCCACGAGCACAGAGGACACAGCGTTGTCCCCCCAGCCCAGCACACGTGGCCCCAAACACCCCCCAGCTCCCCCGTTCCACGAGCAGAGAGTACACGGCGCTCTCCCCAACCCAGCACAGCGCGGCCCCAAACACGCCCAGCTCCCCCATTCCACGAGCACAGAGGACACGGCGCTGTCCCCCCCCCCGACCAGCACAGCGGCCCCAGCTCAGCCCTCACGCTCAAAAAGCCGCAGCGGCACCGGCCCCACCCTCGGCCCCACCCTCAGCCCCCCCGCTCAGCCCTCCCGCTCAAACCGCCACAGCTGCGACGGCCCCGCCCGTCCTTGAATTGCGCGGGCCCGGCAGGGGCTGCCCAATCAGCACTCGAGCGCCTCCGTCCAATCGCAGCCCACGCTGTCCCTGCGGCCCCGCCCCGCCCGCTCTGCCCGCCCGGCCCGGCCCGGCCCCTCCGCGCGGCTCCCGCCGCCGCCGCAGCCCCGGCGGGCGGTGCTGGGGCCGGGGAAAGGTCGGGGGGAGCTCCGCGGTCACGTCCCGTCCGGGAGCTCTCCCGGGACAAGGGAAAGGGGGAGCGGCGGCGGAGCCTGCGGGGACAGCGGCGTTCTTGGAGACGGGCAGGGCGGGGCCGGGCGCCCAGGGGGCGGGGCCAGTGCGAGCCGGGGGGCGGGGCCAGCACCATGCCGCGGCGTTTGGCTCTGGGCTTTGGGGTTGTTTTGGGCTCGTTTTGGGTGCGGGTTTTGGGGGATTATGCACACTCTCCTGGGCTAGAGCCCCGCCCCAGCTCACTGCACCCTGCTGCGCTCCCCGCACCCCTTGCGCTGCTGCAGGGACATCCCCGGGGTGCTGCAGGACAGGCTGCACCGGGATGGCCCCGCCCGCTCTGCCCGCCCAACCCGGCACGGCCTCTCCGCGTGGCCCCACCCCCGTTCCCTCAGGGGCCGGTAGACCTGGTGTCCGAGTCTGACAGGTAGACCTGTTCTCTTTTAGGGGGTAGACCTGGTCTCTTTTAGGCGGGTAGATCTGGCGCGAGCCGAGGGGCGGGGCCGGCGCGAGGCGCGGGAACTGTAAACGGCCCCTATTGCATCATCACTCCGCGCCGAATAGTGGGCGGGAGTCATGGTGCAGCTCGGTGAGTCCCGAGCCCGTGAGCGGCCCCTGCGCGGCCCGTGACATGCAGTCCTGTGCGGCCCGTGACCACCTTGCTTTCTTCACAGGGAGCCGCCTCCTGAAAGGCTACCGTGGCGGGCACGTCGTGATCCGTTTCGCCCTCGGAGGCTGCGCCAACCGGCCTTTTTTCCGCATCGTGGCAGCGCACAGCAAGCGCGCCCGCGACGGGAAGTACCTGGAGCAGCTCGGCTGCCTCGACCCGCTGCCCAACGTCCACGGCGAGAGGGTGGCTGGGCTCAACCTGGAGCGGCTGCGCTACTGGCTGGGCTGCGGCGCGCAGCTCTCCCGGCCCGCCGAGAAGCTCCTGGGTAGGCCTGGGTCGGGCGCCTGGCGGCAGAGGGCGGGGAGGGGGTGGCCGGGAGCGGCCGCGTCTCACTACCTCTGTTGGCAGGTCTTGCGGGGTTCCTGCCGCTCCACCCCATGACGGTGACCGGTGCCGAGAGGCTGCGCCAGAGACGACAGCGAGAACAGCAGGCGGGCATTGCCTCTGCCGACAGGACCGGCGCCGGGCCCTGACAGACGTGCCGGCCGAGAGGCCCGGCCCTGGCCTGAGGAAGCATCTTGCCCTCTTAGTGTATGACCACATTAAAGTGTCATCTGCACACTCTACACTGTGCATCTGCTGCTTTCTAGAGACTCCGTTCTGAATCAAAGTTTATTGTGACCAAATTTGGTGCACAGAGATAAAAGAGGTTTTGCTGCTCTAATGCACATAGAGAACCGTTCCAGGAGACACATACAGCTTTTTCTAAAGGCATGCCATTGGCTCTAGCATCTCCCTCTCTGCAGCAATGGCATGGCTACTGCCAGTTTCCATTTGCCTGCTCTACTTGTCAAATGTTTTGACTCCTGGCTCTGATTTACTGTAACAGGACAGTCCAAGGGTTCAGGAGATGCCTGGCACAGAAAAATGGAAGTGCAGCTATATTTCTGTTTACTTTCTCCAGAGAGATTCTGGGCCTCTCCAGAGAGAAAAAGGGAAAGATTTCAGTCTCATTTTAAGAGAGATAGGGCACGCCTGAAGTTGAGCTATGAGTCTTACTCTTACATCACATATTTGACTCTCTTCCAAGAGGCAAAACGCCTGCCAAAGTCTCTCTCTTACCTTAGATGCACCTTCTGCTTCTTTGGGGTTTATTTTGGCACAACTCTAGCCTGTCCCAGCACTGCTGCCCTACAACTTTTGCTGTTGTCTGGGGTGTTGCAGCCTGAAATTTGCCAACCTAAATGTAGGCCCACTTTCACCAGCACCTTCCCCTCCACTGACCCTGCTACAGAAGCAGCAGTCTGGGGCAAAGGAATAGCCAATGGAAAGGTGCTGCAGCCGTTTCTCTAGTGAACATCAACAAAAACCTTCCCTGCAGGAAAGTGGGGCTAAATGAATCATTATGTCTTTACAACCACAGGTATGGAAAATGTTTATTTAGATAAATTAAACAGATGCTGGAGATCTCCCTTGGCATTTCAGTCCCAGTACTCATAGAATTCTCAATATGTTTACTGGACTTAATGCAATTCATTGGGTGTTATTACGGTAATGGCATCTAAAAGTTTCTCCTCTCTCCTAAGACTGTCTCCCTGTCTGAGGAAGGGAAAACAAATATCAAGAAAGCTACCTTTTACACAAATTCTTTCTTTTAATAAAATAAAGTGTATCTCCTATAGAGTACAAGATGACTAACTACTCATTTCTAGAAAATAAATTGACTAGAAAACTCTTTTGAATAGTTCCCAATATAGCTTTTCTTGATATATATATACAGTCATACAATTTTATTCTATTTGATTCTTGAGAAGACTCATTTTTTCCATTCAAAGATACAGCAGAAGTTCCTAAATCATTAGGTTGTCTTTTTTTGAGAGACACAGCAGAACTCGAGTGAACTGCAGACACATGCTGAAATGCTTACAGCTAGCTTCATTACAGACATGAGACAACAACTGATAAAGTGTTTTCCCTGTCAGTCTCCCCATTTTCCCGTCTTCTGTACATCTGTAACAAATACCTTAATGAGCATACACAAATAATTGCTGTAAAGCAGTCTTTAATGATACGGACTTATTCAGAGTTAACCTTTAGGTATCACTGAAAAACAGCACAGCATAACATCATTTTCCTGCCTAAACTTGTGCATCTCTTTTTCTAACCAGAAATTTTCAGATTTAGACAGAATATTTGAAGTGTTTGGATTCCAAAAGCTAGATACCACGTTGTAGCTCGCAGTTCAACAGGGATTGTATACAGTAATTTCTGTAAAATACAAAATGTATGACGAAGAGAATAAGCAAGTAATAACTTTTAAAGTTATTTCTATGGATTTGGTGCAACTCTACTTGATGGTGACAGGCCCCATTTTTTTTTCCAGATGCCACTAGTATACTGCTCAAAGACCCAAATTAACACAGAATGATGTTGACTTAAAAGTACTATGTATGTAACACTACTTTAATATATATGCAAAATAAAGTCCATATCCCATAAAATAAAAAATGTAATATATATTTTATCGGGTAATGCATATAGGCATAGCAAGAGTTTTATACCTATATAAACATCGTTCATAATATTTACAGATGATGGTAATGGAGACAAACATTATTATCAGATACACTGATTTAATCAATTCTGTGAACATTTTGAAGATTTTCACTTGTAACAAAGTGATCTGCTGCTCCAGCTACCTAGAAAAGGAAAGTGCTCACAATTCATTTAGTGCAATAAAGGCTACAAAACTTAAGAGGAAAAAACATTTTAAGACCTGATACCACATTAGCTAGTGGGACCAAACAAAGAAATAAAATAATTTTTGAGTTTAAAAGTTTGAGAAGGGAGAGAAATTAAGATGATAATGCAGACCAACAAGAAAAGAAAAATTTTCCAAAGTCAAGTCTTTTTACATTGTCAAAAATCAGAAGCACCAACAATTTCTCATGCTATTTTATTCCAGCTTTGTCCTGAACATTTTTGGAGACAGCTGTCCCATAATCAAGGAAATGGCACATCACAGATATTCCTGCAGATATGACAGTACGTAAGCCCAAATGAAATTAAAGATGAACATACTCATCAATATGATAATCCTTTACCTCTGAGTGCCTGACTTTGTAATCTTAATAGTATTCCTCCATTTAAGTCAATGCTGAGTAACATGAAACTTGCTTCTAAAATAAATTTTTTAAAAAGGAGGAACAGATGATAAAAAAGGAGGGGTTCTTACAAGTTGTGTATTATGCTTTCAGCACAGAAGTATAGTAAGCCACAACAGCTAAGGATTACACTAATTATTTCATCTTGGCATCATAGATCAAGCATCAGAATAAACTTAGGTGTACAATTAAGTACAACTCATTTAAAAGGAGTGACCCTCCCGTGACAACCCTTATTCAAGACCTAAAGACCAGATAAGCAAAAATAACCTTTACAGGGATGCCATGCACATGTAAACATCAAAGTGTCCATCAGCCTTGGTAAACATTGGCTGCCTACCCAAATACAGAAGCAGACTGATAGGGATTTTAGAAATAGTTTTAATTTTATTTCTGACTTAAAATTAACTCCTGGCCTTAACTAGAACTTTTACAAGTTCTCACATATTTACCACCTTCTAAAATCGGAATAATTAAGAAATCTCGCAGATAATGAAACCCAAAGCCCTTTTACTAGTTTTACTGAGATATGGAAGATGTAGTTCTAGCTGACAAGCACTTACTTGCTGGTCCCCATGCAGATTTTAAAATGTCACAAGGTAAAACTATATAAACAAAGATGATGTGATGAAGGCTTTCGTACAAATTATTTTTCTTAAATACTCAGCTTAGCTCTGAGACTAAGCTTCTACCCAAAAGAGGTTGATGGAAAAAGACCCTTCTCCCCACAGCTGGATTATGGACAACTCTCCATCCTCCTGCTAGGTCATCACAAACCCCTGTAGCCTTAATTAAAAGTCTAATGTGGAAGGAAATCTGCACATATTGGCAAACATTACCAAGGACCACAGCCAGGACCTAACAAGCAGGGTTTGGGAACCAGGCCATGCCACTTTCAGCCCACAGTGGTTTCTCGTAGCACTTGGTGGGAGCTCTGTGCAACCAGAAGTCCAACCATGGCACTTCACAGAGTACTTATACCACCCAAGCAGGACCAGTTGCTCTCAGCCTTTCCAAAGTTTTGGAAAGCACCCTCCAGAGCCCAGCCTACCACAGGCAGAGGCTGTAGGTTGGACCCACAGCTCCCAAAAGCTTCCCAAGAATCACCACTGCCCTTGGCGATGGAGGATCGGGCTCTGCCTGGCCATGAGATGGCACCTTCTGCCCACCAGACTGGCAGATCACTGTTCCGACAGTGGCAGTACCCACAGCGGTGTGTGCAGCCCAGCCCAGCCCAGCAGCTCTCTGCCACTCGAGAGACTGAGGTTGCCCTGCCCAGGTACCAGACTTCTAGGCCTCCTGCCTCATGCTGGACAATACCACTGGTTCCCCTGGGAATGACAGCACTACGAGGCAGCTCGAGGGAATGGTCCCACCACTTCCTGCTGCTGTGGCCCCAGGGGCACAGACAGGCCTTTGCCACCTCAGGGGAAGGACCTCACCTTCCCACAGGAAGGGGAAAGCTCAGCAAAGCCAGTGCAGACCTTTCTCGCAATGTGCCATGCCCACTGCTGCCATCCCAGGGGTGCACAAACCTGTTATGCCACAATAGGAAGGCTGACAGTGATGCAATGAGGCAGCAGAGGCTGTGGCAGCTTCTCCCATTTATTCATTCTGCGCATGGGGCAAGAGTGGACGCTGCTCCTCAGCAGGTGGCAGCTCCTCGGTGGGCAGCAGCTCGTAGGTGACGCAGAGGGAAGAGAAGAGACAGCCCAGGAAGGACACCAGGCTGGCGAAGTACATGGCACTGCTGGCACTGCCCACAGCCGCTGTCAGGGGCCCCATGGCCAGAGCCACGAGGATCTGTGCCAGGAAGTACTGGCAGCTCAGCAAGGAGATGTCAACGCCCATCCCACGTCGCATGCCCTCTGCCTGCAAGCTTACAAACTGCGGGGGACACAGACACAGTATAAGGGGGTGTCACAGGAATTTCTCTCCCCTCCCTGGCCCAAGGCTCACCTCACGGCTCTGGTAGTAGTCACAGAGCAGGGAGTAGGGCAATGTGCAGAGCGTAGCGAACAGAATGCCGTAGGTAGAGCACAGTGACAGCACCACATAGACATTTCTGGAGAGGGTGGCCAGGCCCGTGCCCAGCCCAAAGGCCAAATATGCCACAAAGTACAGCGTCCGTGTGCTGAACCGCTCCTCCAGCTTCTCCAGCATGGCTGCAAGAAAATGGAATGGCATTCTGGTTGAACTGCATCCCTCTCCGGTGCCAGCCGGTCAGTGCATCTGAGGCCTTGTAGTCCAGCAGTTAGGCAGCCACATCTCAGTGGCAACCATTATGCCTCTGAGTAATTGGTGGCTTGCATGTGAGCACCAAGGGCCCCTTCCAAATCCTGTTGCTCTGATGCAGCCTTTCTGCCCTATGTTCATGGAGGGTATGGCAGAGCTGAAGCCTAGCAGTGCCGATGTCCCAGAGGGGTACATAGGAATTGGTGGGGGTGGGGAGGCAGACGTATGGCACACATGACAAAGTGCTGGGGTGGTGCATGACACCTGAGCGCTCTGCTGGGGAAACACAGGCACTGAGTGCCTATGGCGGCTGCATGTATTTCTGGATTCAATGTACACTGAAAATGCTGCTTGTGAAAGGAACTACATACTAAGAAAGATGTGTTTTTATTGGATTGCTGACATCATCTACTGTCAATGCAGGCCAAGCTAACTAACATAATATAGTTATGTTAGTTATAACATAATACAGTTAACCATGAAAAAGAACACTCTGCTTCAGAACTTGTGCTGGTAGGCTATGTGCAACATAAACACCGAGCTACCTGTTGCAGAAACACAACTTTTAAGGGAAGTGTATATCTTTTCTCACAGCAGCAGTTAAGATGGTTGTACCAAGTACCTGAATAGAAAGCAGCACTGAATGCATAGATGCACATTCCCCAGCAGCCCATGGTGACCCCAGCGTTGTACTTCTGATACTCATCTGAGTTGTGAGGTGCTTTTGGATTCCCTTGAAACACTACTTCTCCCATGAAGTCAGTATAGAAAAGTAACATCCCCTCAAACGAAAGCCATCCTGAAAGAAGTGAGAAATAACCTATCAGGATTTCAGAGTATCCTTTCCCCTTGTAAGCCTGTATGGATGTTATCAGCTATGTTACAAAACACACCCAGTAATACACACAGCCACATTTATCTGAGATCACTGTTCCCCGTGCATTATGCTGCAATGTTTGTTAAAGACATTCAGGATTTTAAAGACCAAGATTTACCATCTGAATTCCAAAGTGGAATGCTAGAGGCTGAACAAAGGTCACAATGTACTGGTTTAGCAAGACAGAAAAATAGATGATGGCAGCCTGTGCTGCCTTCAGGACAGGACACAACTTCAGCTGACAAGACACAACGCTCAGTTTAACAGAGTTGTTTATCCCATAGTAATTTCAGGTTGCTGTTATTCTCCCATATAGAACTGGAAGGAGGGCCTCTTATATCATGGTTGCAGCCTCCAGAGTGCCTCTGACACAGTCAAAAAGTCTACTTAAAAATTGGTATCGAGGCCATGAACGCAGACAATCTCTTAATTCCTTTCATAGCCACTGAGTATTAACTACTTGGCATCTTCTGTCCAATTTTGTGTACACTGGATTGATTGCAAGCCCTTCCTAATCATCAGTCACACACTGGTTAAGAGTAAAGGTAACATTACTGGCTACAGGCACTTCTGCACTGCCACCTCCTCGTGGCCTGTTCTGGGACTCAGAAACATGCGCTGTCAAAGGGAGGAAAGCAAACGCTAGTCTCAGGTGTAAGCAGGGAAATGCAACTAATCTTGGCTTTCCGTTTGGTGTAAACGTTCTACTTAACAGATGCACTGATTTAGGCCACTGTTACTCCCTTTCTAGGAACACAGGCTTTACTGTTTCGTAGGGGTGTTTTGGTATTTTTCTTCCTTTCTCGGTGTTCTAAGAAACTAAGGGGATCAGAAGGTAACAGTATTGGTAACTGTATACAGAGCAAACTGTATATGGAACTGTATATGGAACAAATCAAGTCCTCCCTAGTTAGCAGCCATTGCAGCAACAGGCAAAATATTGAAAAAGATTCACCCGAGGTAGTGCAGAGCTACTTCCCTGTGAAGTAGAAGAGGGCACTTTCTGAATACCTAAGAAGTGGTTGATGCAGAGGTTACGAAGAGTCCTGGGCATCTGGCAGATGGTCGAACAAAGCAGTTTCACAGAGAGTGGTTGCTCAGAGGTCTCGTCTGATTCATTCAGCTCGCTTTCATACTTAACACCATTCAGCAAGATATTAGCAACCTGCACCATAAGAACTCCCAGGTCAACAAGCACAGTAAGAAAAACCCAAACATCCCCTAAGCAAATGTATGCAGTATTGCACACCTATCTGATCATCTGAAAGATAAACTCTGCTGCTGGAGTATGATGACTCAGAGATTAACTGTATTGGGCTAAACTGTAAGTTCAGCCTCGGAACAAGTGTTCAATGGCAGCACTGCCCTGCAGCTTTCACTATACTTGAAGCAGTACTCTTCACTTCACTAGGATACTTGGCAACTACATCCAGACTGTAGTATAAGGAATGGATAAATTCTACTGCATTTTATAGGAGCTGTACCCACATTTAGGTGAATTTGGATCCTGAAGTTATAGAGACACTGAGGAAGAAGAAGCTGGTTTTAATTGAAACACATTCTCATTGCTTGCTAACCTTGATGCTCAACCTCTACATGCACAGTAAGTAAAATCCTGGCCCTAACAAAGTCTGATCTCACAAATCAGGTCAAAGTACAGCAACAGCAACAACAAACCAACCAAACAAGAAAACAGCATCACCCCCCAAAAACCCCAAGCAAATCCCAAAACCAATCCAAAAAATAACAGAGGACAGTTTACCTCACCCCAGATCCTAAAAAATGATACATCATACAAAGGTCTCAGATATTCCAAGTTATCGCCAACAAGTGGAAGGAGAGGTCAAGTCTTATCCCTCAGTAAGGGAAACCTCACCCCTCACCTCCCTGATGGAACCAGATAATGACTGCCGTAAGGAGAAGCTCATGGGAGAATCCTGTCCCTGGCCCTATCTTGCAGGTCTTTCTGTGGAAAGGGAAGATATAGGCTCAATAAAAATGTGTCCTTTTCTGCTCTCGCATGGTAGCTCCCTTGGTGGTAAAGCAGGGATCAAAAATCCCAACCTACCTCTCACACATGATCTGATAAGAGTGGGACATTCCCGTTTCTGCCATCTTAACAAAGGCAGCTGACAGACTGCCAGTCATAATTCACATTCTACCCACTATTTTACTGATAAGAGTCATAGCAGGTGTGCTGTTTCCATAATGACTTATATGAACAAGCTGTTATGAGCAGTCTTTAATGAATAATTTGTGAACCACATGTTTAAAACTATATGAAGAGATTAATTATGCTCAGGTTTACATGATCGTATCATTGATTTCCTGCTCTTACCTGTTGGCTGAAGGTTACATTTCTTCTTCTGTTACTCTCTGTGCAGTGTCCTGTTGCGGTATCTGGAATGGTCAAGGTCTGAGGTCTTTTCAAGATCCCTGACGACCGTGGCTTTATTGCATCCAGTGAGCCCACTCTTAGTGAGTCGCTGTCAGGTGTTATGCTGCTCTCCCCTTGCTCCAGAACTCCATATTCTCCTTGGTAACAGCCATCAGGCACCTGAGGAAAGCTAACACTGACAGGCTGCCTGGCCAAACTAGCTGGAAGTGCTACATAACTATTGTGCCCGCCTGTAAAACAGTCTATAAGCACACTGTCAATGTTTGAAGTCCCAAATGATGATGCAAACTCATTTATTCCCGTCAAAGAATTGTCTCTGCTGACAAAACTCCCGTATTTTGGCGTGAGTGGGCTGATGGGGGAAACGGGACTTGAAAAACTTGCATGTAAGTGAGCTGAGTTATGAGAAGCAAAGTTTTCATTTACACCCTCCTCAAAGAAGAAAGGTGGAGAAGGAGGGAGAGGAAGACTTGGACTCTTCATCACCTTTTTCTTCCGGCTAAAGGACCTTAAGGGTCTTTCTGGAATGCTAATTAGAGTCAGCACAGTAGCAATAGCCAGTATAACTGAGGTGAAGAGATAGATGACGCGAAGTTGCCCTCCTACAGCTTTTCCAAAACTGGTTTTATCCCAGTGTATTCCTCCAACAACATAACCAAAGCCACCTCCAAGACCTGGTGGAAAAACAGAGCCAAGATTATCTTCCCTATGCAATCCCACAAGTCAATAGCAGCGTGGCATCATTTGTCTAATGATTCATGAGTGGAATCCAACATGTTATTTCTGTTTTACCATTCAACCTCTTTTCTCTTCAAATGCAGTAATAAACACAGTTACCTGTGCCACAGGGACAGTCTGGAGTACCAGCACGGTACAAAAAGAGGGAGAAAGTGCTGTAAAAGTGATGATACAAATAACTAAAAATAATACTTCTTTCTTTGCCAAGAACAAAACACCTTACCTTCAGATATTTCAGTCCGTAAACAGAAGTGTCCACCAGCCTTATGACAAGGCTCTGCAATCATTCAGCTAAGACTGTTTTCCTGAAAGTGAAAATCCATTTTCCTCACTCAGTTAGAGGAACGCAGATCTAACTGCATCCAAGACAGACTGAATCACTTCAGAAGCGAAGCAAGCTCATTAGTCAGCAATGTGTTGACAGCGTACAAAACTGCCACTGCATCGCTACTGATGAACATGGGAGTTGTGAGAGCACCAGGTACGTCTCTCACTCCATTCACATGGTGAGAGCCTTAAAACACTATCCTTTCTTACTTATGAACACATTCAAGAGTGTGAAATAGTTTCCTAGAACAGGGCAGTACAACTGAAGATGACAGCAGTGAGGGATCACAGCACCCAGTATATACTTTCCCTTCCAACAGAGCAATTAAAGGACACATATTCCACGCCTGTAGGAAGCTAAACCTCCTCCCTCAACGGATGATTTTGTTTTCATAGGAGTTATAAATTATGTGAGGGACCTTCAGATGAACAAACCAGTCTTGTTTGACTTGTGGTAGTTACAAAAGCCTTTTGCAGTAAGTAGAAGGTTTTTTCCGAAGTTAGTTAGTGCCATCTCCGCCACATTTGGTCATTATGTTTATACAGGAAAAGACCAGTGATTTAGACTCCGCTTTCTCACAGTAGGGTTTGTTTACTTAGGGTTAACATCACCCAGGCAGTACCAAGGAAGCATACCTGCTAACAAAGCGTGGATGTTGAGGCCCCTGTCTTGATCCACTGGGCTGCACACATCCATCATGTAGGCATGACTGGGATTGTCTGCTGAATCTGCACTGAAGTCCATGAGGACAACACCACAGACCGTAAGAATGATCCCCCATTTGTGGTTATTCTCAGTGTCAGATAAGGCACTCCCTATATCTTTGCCATTCAGCATAAGTGAGAGGCCAAGCAATGCTCCTGGGAATAAAACCAAATCAAAATCAGTCACTGCTTGTATGTAAAAGAAGCCTGCAGAGCTCCAGGCTCCAAAGGCATTATATTACCTGCACAGCTTTGTGGCAAGCACTAATTGCTCTTGTTCAGATCAACACAGCCTGGGAAATGAGCATGGCTTATAGGATACACAGTGTCTGAGCTTAACAAATGTCTCGAGTTTGTTTTGGCAAAAAAACCCCACATTCTTGAGCCTCAGAAACATCATCCCTTCAGACTCTGTGAAGCTTTTATGTATAGATCTCCAGTTGTGAAAGCATAACCTCGGTGTCACTCATCACCTTCTTCAGACCCACAATGCCCCACACTTCAGGGGCTAGTGCCACAGTGGATGTAACAGAAGAGAGATGCATAATGTTTACAACTGTTATGCCCATAGTTTCTAAAAGACACACCTACTGCTAAGACCAGAATGAAAGGTCTTCTTCTCCCATATCTTGATGTGCATCTGTCACTCCAGGCTCCCAACAAAGGCTGTAGCAAAAATCCTAGAAAAAAGGAATCACCAATAAATAGGATTTTTCTAAAAGCCTGTTTCAGAGAGGCCTTAAAAGGCAGTTAAAGGCAGGACACTATAGCACAGTGATATCCTCGGTCAGCACCAGTCATCTAGGGTCACACACAGCATCCTGCCTGGCATCCCCCAGGAAAGGGACTGAATAACATAATTTGCTGCTGCTCACTGATATGGTAGTTCACTCTGCATCAATAATAACGAGTTTGACACTTGGTGAAGAGTCAGAGTACAACAGTTATACATTCTCAAGCACTCTGTTCCTCACAAGCTATTTCATTTATCCCACATCAGATGGGAGATCCCCTGCAGGATTAGCTTGGAAGATAGCACGCAAATTTGTGAGTAGGAAAGGTGAACATATTAATCTGAGCCAGCCTGTTAGTAGAGGCCTATTTCTTCTTATGAAGAGTATCATGAGTACAAAAGCAGTAATGGATACACTCCCAGCCCTGCCTCCATGCTAAGGCATGTAATCCAATGCCCATAATAGCAGTGGTCGATGGTCTTTCACCACTGGAACACCTTATTTGTTTCAGGAAGTTAAACAGAACAGGGCAACCCAACTCTGCTTTTTTTTCACGCACCCATGGGAGCTGTCTCTGTACGCTTTTTTTCATAGGGACATAAATGGATACACTGATCCTCTTTTGCTATTTTTTAAATACGGGAACAGAACCACCAAAGCTTACCCTCACAAAAGCTTTAAGAGGTTGAGAAGCTATTAAAACAAAAAGATCTTTTGAGCACACTTGGCCTATTTCATGCAAGACACAGCAAGAATTACTCTCCAATTTGTTTGCCTAAAATTATGGCTAGTGCTTCTTAACCTCAACGGAATATACTTATGAACAGCTGAGGTAGAGAAAACAAAAAAATAACCCCCATGTAGTGGAAAAAATAAGAGGGAAGAAACAGTGTAAACCAAAGTTACCTAATATAGGGCTGATGAACCACACCATTCCATACAGTTGGTCTGGAAGCCCCATCTGAAGCAGCACAGGGGTAACATAGGCTGTTTCCATGGCATAACTGAATTCAAGCCCAAAGAGAATGCACCCATTGAACAGGAGCTCCAAGAAAGACCTCTGAGGCTGGAGATCCCCAAAGTCAGCCAAATCAACGGGACATGGAGTATTTGGTGGTGGTGGTGGCGAAGGGCGGATATGTTTTTTTCTTTTTGGATGTCTCTTGAAGTTGTTGGCCCGATGACTTATGTGCCGTGTGGCCAATCCAGAATAGCCTGGAACTGGTGACCTCCACACTTCCTGAGAAGCCATGCTTGTCAAGAGTGCAGCATCACTGACAGGGCTTGTTGCAGATGGTGGAATCATCAGGGGTAAGGGTCTGGAAGACAAATAGCTCAGAACACAATGGTTGAGTAAGAAAAACTTGCTTAATTTCTTTTGCTGAAGTTCAAGTAACTTCAGCATATGCTTCACATATGGAGTATGGCCTTTGTATTATTTACAACCTCCTCTTTCCATCTCTCAACACAAGGTGTTTTACGAGCACGTCTCCCCCGTCTTTGCACAAATGAGACACCAGAGATGCTATCTTGGTTACCTAGGCATTGCCAACCATCACCATAGATTGAAATATTTATAACAATTAACAGACATGTCACACTTCCCATAAGTTTCCATAACAGCAGTGGGTTTTTCTTTATCTAGAATTCACTTGAGTTAAATTCATTCAAGCTAAAAAGATACATCTCAACCTCACTCTAAGTTTACAATAAAACAAAGCTGTGGCTTGGCAGCAGATCCAGACCCCTGGTGCCACATGAAATCATTTTGGTATAAAACCCTTTCAGTACTGATCCTACCAATTCCTGCTGCCTATGCTGAGGCCAAGGCTTAATGCAAAACTTTTTTGCAATGTCCAATTTCAGTTTTCTTCCTATTTACATTTCTGAATTCAGCAGAGATATCTCTGTTGCAAGGACAGGGTCTGATCCTTAGGAACTGAATTTTCAAACTAATTCATGAGAAGAAAATATATACCCCACAAGCCACCCTCAGCACTGCTACTCCTCTTTCAGTGATTAATGGCATGCTGGACAGACTCCTTGGATCTCATCAGAGTCACTCCTATAGCCAAAGTGTGCACAGTGTGGTGGGTGAAACACCCAAATGGTTTCCAAAATAGCATCAGATAGATGCCAACAGACCAACTGCCTAAACAAAATCACATGAGATTTCTCGCCTCTTTTTGCCAGAAATGGAAACAGTTTATGACCTTTTCTTTATGCTTCCTTGCTCACAGATCAAAGGTTCCTGCTGCAAAAGAATGGCTCCACATCACCCCATAGTTCTTCAGAAAAATCCTCACAGCTGCACTCTAGTAAGCAAAACAAGTCTCTTATTTTTTTGATTGCAGTTCCCCAGGAGAAAAAACTCCCAGCTGTTCTACTACTTTGTACTGTACAGAACTCCCACAAATCTCACATTTTCTGCTTCTTCCTCTGGCACATTTCACACATTGGTCTTTCTTCCTGTAGCCCTCAGTCTAGACAAAGCCACTCTTTGTTGCATATCCCCAACTATTCTCAAACGCACAACTCCGTAAGCCCATGTTTAACATCACCCTGATGCAATAGTTGTTAAGCGTGGTGGATGATGCCCTACACAGACCAATCCCCAGCTCCACGCAGGCATCCAGAGACACACTGCACAACACAAAACACTGCACAATTCAAAACTAAATGCCAAGCAACTCACAGAAGACTGCAGTTGGGGTAACTTGAGTGCACTTGGGGCCTGAGGAGAAGATGGAAGGATGAGAGTGAGAAGATATCTACTGAAATATTGGTAACGTTGTATCAAGGGTTTCCTCAAGACTGCTCCTCTTCAGACCAAGATGCACATCACATAAGAGAGAACAGGCAGTTCATAATTGCAGCTACACACCTTGACAACCCCCGTCTCACACAGCACTAACAGCAAGCTGCATCTTGCTGGGGAAGCTCGTTAACCACTAAGTCCCCAATGCAGACCAACTGAAAAAAGTGTATGGAGACTTCATTAAGATGTCTGCACCAGCATTCCCCTTGACACTGTTTCTGCAACTTACTGTAAACTTCTTATGACCCATGTCTCTCACAGAGTACTTACTTTGCAGGAGTACCTTTATTAGCCTTCAGGACAAAGTAACTTCGTCACGGTGAGAATCTGTTAAAAATTAGAAGAGAGATACCTAAAAGAATGCGTAACAAAAATCCAATCAGAGTCATGACAGTTGCTCTAACAACCCTTTCAGAGAGACATGACAACGCAGCTGTGCTAGCAGCTCCCTTCACCACTATTATACCTTACCATTTGCATATAGGTATTATCTCCTCATCTATTAGTTTCAGTTCATACTAGATCCTCCTTTATCTTCCTGCTCTGTCCTGTGTATTGCGAAGAGATTGTATTGCAAGCCGAAAGTGGCAACATTTTAGTGACAAAAGAACTCCTATACATGGCTCAAAAATACACACGGTGATCTGTAACTACCTGGAATGAAAGGCTATAACTGACAGCATGTCACCAGTCCAGCAGAAAGTCAGTGCAAAACTAGGAACTGAGCCTGTATTCCTCACCACCCATTTTTTCCTCAACTTACAAACCGTACACAGGAAGACAACTCCTGTCCTCAGGCAAATCTACCTGGTGATCACAACAGTGTCAAAGCAGGAAAGCTCTCCTTTAGTGTGGCTGTTAGCCTTCATTGTCAACAGTTACTTGTGATTTGACAGTCGATGTTTGTTATACCAACTTTTGTGCCTCACACTCTGCCAGGTGATGCTAGCTCTGCTGCCGGCTCTCCGCGCAAACGTGTACGCACAGGCAGCGTGCTTGGCAGACAGGGACCGGCCATCACTACTCCTCCTGAGCACCGCTACGCCGAAAGTAATGCTTGCGTTTTGGGTTTTTTTTAGCAGAATCTCGTTCCCCTTTTTCTGCGTCGGGTAACGAGTGCTCCAAAAACATCACAGTCACCAGCGTCGCGGGGAAAGGCCGGCCCTGACCCCGAGCTCGCCCGAGAGCCGCCGCTTCCCCAGCCTTTGTGTCAGTCGAGAATGAGCCGTGCTGCGCAACCGCCGCGGGGCGGGGCCGCCGGCCCCTCACAGCCCCGGGCCTTTCGTTCGCCCCAAGCCGCCTCTGAGCGGAGACCCTTGCGCCCACCGGCACCAGCACTCACCGTTCCCCGCCCCGCCCGGCAGCCTCACCTTCGGCGACATCCGGCGCTCGGCCAGGCCCGCACTGCGCCGCGGGCCCAGCCCTGCTGACGCCGTCCCACCCCCGCGCCGGTGCCCCGCGATTCGCCGGCGGGGAGAGGCGGGAGGGGCCGGGCCGGCTCTGCCCCTGCGCGCGGCTCCCCGTCCCGTTCCGTCCCCGGGCCCGGCCTTGTTCCACACCCACGGGCCCTCTCGAAGGAGCCTTCGCGGCCAAGGGAGCGCTCAGGAGGCGCCAGGGTAGAGAAGTCGACTCCTCTTGACGTCACACCATCCACTCCCGCACTGCACGCACCGTTTTCTGCAGCGATGCTGCCCCAGACAGGTGCGAGCTGACAGACCCTCATCTCCACCGACTTACCCCACAGTGGCACTGTAGTCATTGCTGAAGTGGATCGTGATAGCAAGACTTTTAGCCGATGCAGAGATATTTTTCGATAGGCCTGTAGAGCAGATGCCGTAGAAGATGCTGCACTTTTCTCTCTTCTGTTTAACAGTCTTCCCCTTCCTACGGTAAGGGAATTCAGCAATTTTGTTTTATAGGGCCATATTTCCTGCTCATGTTTCAGATTTCCTCATCCTTTGCAAAGATGTCATTATGTAGTGCAGTCTGCTCTATTTTTAAAATACTGCCAATTTGGAGCCTTAATCATTAAGCATTCTTAAATGCTAGAATATATTAATATTAGTATATATTAGTATTTATGTATCATAGAATTTATTGTAGCTGAAAGATGGCATTTTTGCTGCCTGCCAAAACAATCAGACAACTGGGGCAAGAGACAGCAGTTGCTGGGAGGAGCCATTACCAGTACTTGTAGTAACTAGCAAGTTACTAGCAGTACTTGTAGTAACACCAGCTACTGCTCACCCCCAGCTTCTGATGCTCAGGGACAGCTGAGTGGGCTGAGACTATGGCCATCACACCACTCACAATTGTTAACTGCCTTCTTTGATAAAGACCCAGAATCAGCCATCCCTTCAGTGACCACAAGCAACCACACAGCGCAACAGCCCCTGCTCCTGCCAGCCTCAGTCCAACCACCACCCCGGGTTAGAAAGCTCTGCAAACACTGGAAAGATGAACACAGCACTTGAGAGTTCCATTCCTTGACATCAAGGATGACTTTTTGTCATGCCCACCTGGTCATGGAGAGTGAGTTATATTATTAATGCTGGCAGGCAGCCATGGCCATTTTATACAATGATTTTTCCTCGTAAACTTATTTGAGACATTAAACTCATGTTTATTCCATGGTCAATTAGATAAAATTGTCTACTCAAAGCTTACAAAGATCACCTCTTCCACCATTTAGCACAGTTTGTCCACTGGGGAACAGTGGAACAAGTAACTGTAGTCCTTCCCAGGGTAACAACAAAGGAGAGAACAAAAGCACTTCCTACTATGCATTCATTTATTAGCATCCTTTGGGCTTTAGACAAAACAGAAACCACAAATCTCCTCTCCTCTGTGAGTTTGCACATAAATTGCTGTTGAAATGTAAACTTATTTATTTTGTACTAATTAAATCCAACAGTGTTCAAAAGAGGAGGTTTTGGTGATGAATACCTACTGCTATGAATCTGTGCTGGTCCCTCCTACCTTCTCTGGGTGCAAGATCTTTTGCATTCACTAAACACTTTTGTTAAGTCTCTCCACAAGGTGGCTTCTGACAGCGTATTCATTTCTGCTCATTTACAGCTTGATGTTAGGCTCACTATTTCATTTGCCAGCAGGCCTCATTATTTGCCCTGCTCAGATCAGACCATTCCTCCGTTTCTATAGAACAGCATGCTCTTATACAAGTGAAGTCATCAAGGAAAGACTAGGCCAGTAGAGATCACACCTGACCCCCTCTTCCTTCAGAAATTCTGCTTTCCACAACATTTATGATATCAGTTGAAGAAGAATTTATATTTCTGTAAATTCCCAGTCATGCCAGTAAGGCCTATGGTATTGAACACAGTGCAAATACAGTGTAAGACAGAAAAAAAGAAGCAAGTTCAAACTAGGTGAGTTGCATTTTAATGATGTGTTCTTAATGCTTATATGGTAAGATGAGCTTACCACATAAATTACACCACCCTAGAATCCCTTACAAGCTAACTGAGTAGGCGTAAAGAAGTTGATGGGTGGCTAATACAATGTAGGAACATAAAGAAATCTTACATATGCCAGTCTGCACACCACCTCCATATCTGGCCCTCATCATATTGTCATATGACTTTAATAGCCCAGATAAATCAGTTCCTGAACTGAACTCCTACACTGGCTATATTAATGGATGAAATTAAATATTTTAAAGGGCACTTGAATTTTTACTTAGAAAAAGGATAAACACAACCAAAAACTCACATCAGAAGCATCATCAGAAATAAACCCCAGCATTTTGCTGCAGAATGAAAAGCAGTGTGAACAGTACTGATCCATTTGCATTAAAATTGAGTTGTTAATTCATTGAGAAAATAAATTCAACATAGCAAACTGTAATAGAAGATAAGAACATGAATTTTTAATATTCAGGAAAATTTCACTAATGTCACACTTCACCTAAACCATTCAAGTATGATGCAGTGACAGCTTTTCCTCCACTAGTTTGTACTGAAGTGACTCATGTTTCAGTTCAGACGTGCTATTTCCACGATAGCAATATGTGTGCACTCAGTCGTTTGCTACCTGAGGCTTTGCACAGTGACTGCTCAATAAGCGTTTGCTTCTGCAAGACAAACTAGTGCTGCCCTCAGAATAATATGAGGCCATTTACCCAGCTCGTGCTCTCACCATTCAATCACCCCTTCAGTGGCTGGTCTCTCACCAATGAAAACCCAACACAGTTCAAAGAATTAGTCACTAGAGGGCACTTACAGAACTCAGAATACTGAAAATGTGCTTGGGATCAGAAGGCCACAGTTCTAGGAGTCCAAATGAAGAAATTTGCATTTACTTCCAAACTCCTGTGACCGATATTTTAAGAAACAGAACCAGGGAAGTAATTATATTTCAGAAGATGATATTTATCATCTTTTGGTTTTTACCCATCACCTGAATGAAAGAAAGCTGAGGAAAATCTCTTCTCTGAGGCAACACACATACTAGGCTACATTGGCCATGCATTTCTGGACAAATGCTGACAGAAGTGTTAATTGCAGGCATGTAAGATATGTACCATGCAAGATATTGGTGCTAAGTGTCACTGTTGGGTGCAGCTTTGGGGAAAGAGGTACAGAAACACAAAACAGTGTGGCAAACTCACCGAAATAAAGTATTTCATTTCACTGCAATGCCTGAAATTGACTATGCATTTCACAAGAGTCAAAGACGTGATTATGCCCCAAAGGTTTTATTCTGGATGTCACAAACAACAGAAAGGTGATAAGTAGTATGTCAGGAAAGCAAGACCAAGGATCCTGGATGCAGGGTCTTCCAGTCACCCATAGCAGGCACAGGCTGCATATATTTTAGCTCTAAACTAAATTCTCATTTAAAGACAGAGCATAAGTAGAGACTACTCTAATCCCTGCCATGTTACCTGAACAGCTCAATTCCTTGCTGCTTGTATTAATTGTGAGCTGCAGCTTTAAGCCAGTATGTCCTGTATTTAGTAAGATTAAAAATTTCTTGGCTATCAGCTGTCTTATTGCTGTGATTCAGTATACACTTCTGATCTTGTACTGGAGAAGGAAAGCAGAACTAATGTGATCAATGAGTTCTGGAAAACCTTGATTCACTGCATTCGTGAAGGCCAAGTGCAGGGCAGCACAAGGAAGGGCCAGGCCACTGCTGTACCCGGGGCTGACAGGAAGAGGAGGTCGGGTGAGGCACCATGCAAAGGGCAGGTCACAGCAGCTGCCTGCAGGCAGAGCATGGTGAACAGTAACCCTGGCAGGTCTGTCACACACCATCGCCCTTGACAAAGGATGCCCAAGCATTGCTGCGCTGGGCTGTTATTGGCCAGCTGCACTGGCAGGGGCTTGGACTGGCTCAGTGCTTGGACAGAGATGGGGTACCCAGAGCTCACAAAAGCAAAGCAGCGTGGCACTGGTACGTGGTGGACACTCCAGGAAGACCAGAGGTGTGCCTGCATCTTGCTAAGCAGTTGCTAAAACTGTGGTTTATAAATTGGCTCTGTACCTTGTCTAAATTGACTTTGGAAATATTGCCCCACTTCCCCATGTTTGCCACCGGGGAAATGAGAAACCACCGTGTCCCTGGGGCTAATTACTTTCTTCAAAACCCAGCATTGCTCTATGTTTCTGGCTCAGCTCAGCATTCAATTTTCTGCTGAGATTGTATCTGTATTGCATTACAGGATGAGTTGCAATAGCACTTGATGTTAATTGCAGTGCACAGGCTGCTCCCTTCTCTCTCTCCTTTATACCAGTTATCAGGAAAAACCAGAAAGTCCACTCCTGCTGTTTTTAATTTAGCCTCTTCCACCCATACAGACTGCCTGCCAGACAGGAGAGGCAGGGGCTGTCATCCTCTTTCTACCTGAAAATATCTAACCAGGTATAGACTACTACATACCATCCCAAACAATTAGTTACCTTATGGAGACACACATGTTGGGATGCATTACAGCCACTCAGTGCAAACAAATAGAGACAGGTGCTGTAATATTCCTGGATGGCCCCAAAGCCAGACAGCCTTCCTTGCCTCTTGCATCCACTGAAGGCAGAGATAAGGGCAGATATGAAGAAACAGGAAAAGGACACCCCCAGGCTGCTCTCAAAGCTTGGCAGTCTCTTCTAGGGCCTCTGTCTGCCTAAAACATCAACCCTGAAAAGCACTGGAGTACAGACCACAGAAACAAGCAGGGGCAGTGTATTCTGATTTGACATGTGTATAGCTCAGCAAATTCTCCTGTGGGAACTAAATTTGAGAACATTTGCTGGGTGGTGAGTACAAAATTTCCTGAAGCATGGTCGTATCAAGGGATAACAGGCTTCGGCATCTTATTTTGTTTGCCTCCTAAACGTCCATCTCTGACAGTGGCATTCCAGCACTCACCATGTAGCAGGTAAATGTTTGTTTCTGACAAGTCACTTGCTAGTCTGTCATTTCCCACTCCCAACAGGATTTCTGTCACCTTCAAGTGTTAACGAGCATTGGTAGTTACCACTCGCTTGGCATCATATGTGCACAGAGGAATGATAGGGACTTGTATCATGTGCCACACTTTCAATGCATCGTGTAAATAGTATTTGAAGAAAACTGATGAATTGGTCTACTGGAAAGCAGTGCCTTTGGGACTAGTATTGAGGGCTTTGGAGATCTTTCAGTGAGATCCTCTAAGCCCAGCCTCCTACTAAAACAACAGGAAGGCAGCTATACTAGACCAGATAGCAGGGCTGTTTCCATCAGGGGGTATTAGTGGACACTTGGTTGCTGCTGTTCACAAGCCTGCTTTTTACTTCTACTGGTCTAAATAGCCTGTTCATCTTGGCATTCCATTTGCTGCGTGTTTTCAGGTGAGTCGAAGTGCTTAAGTATCTCCTCTCTTCTGATTTCTTACCTTTTAGTAAAAGGCTCTTTCTCCTTCCCTGTTTGGCAGATCATTTTCTACTCTTTCCCCATCCATCCAACTTGGATCATGATGTTTCCGGCCTGGATTTGCTCTGAGCTTTGCCTGCATTGTCTTAGGAGAGAGGAGAAAGGAGAGGGGGGAAAAAAAAGAAAAAAAAAAAAAAAAAAAGGAGAGGAACAGAACATTCTGTTAAAGAAACATTTGCTAATGCTCTTGAGCAAGAGAAATGGAACAGGTAGCAAAGAGTTACCCAGATTAAATATCTGCTACAGCAAATACACAAAGGTATGCAAATATTCCCTGTGTACTGTTTTGGTGGCATTTCTGCATTGAGCCTGATACACTGATCTATTAATTGATCCCTCCAACAAGAGCCATGACCTTTGTATACAAAATTGGAGGTCAGACCTCAAAGTAAGCCAATTAACCTGCTGTCTGATAGAATAAAAACAGGCTTGCTATTAGTTTGACTTCTCTCATGGTTTTTTTTTCCCTCTCCCAAGAGGAATAAGTGATTTCTGCAAGTATCTAGTTACTCAGTTTCTCAGTGATGTTATCATCTCTTTGGGTAAAGGACTAGCAGAGCTTGCTGACAATCCATGGGTTTGATTCTATATAAAAGTTTAATGCAACTTCTAGGCTAGTTTTATGTCTAAAGATTAAACATGTAGGAATCAGTAAATGGGAAATTGGTTCCTCTCTTCTGAGGCTGAGCCACACAGAGGGATTCCCCAGAAAGGGGTCTGATCTCAGCCATGGAATACCTTAACCAGCAGGGAATATTTTTCCTTCTAGGTCTGGAACAGATGACAGTGACACTGGAGCCTAGCTCTGGGGTCCACAACTGAAAGATAGAATTGAAAAAATCAGGGTGGAGAATTGCAGAAATGTTTTAAGAGTTGGAAAATATTTTGCAATAACCTAATTAAAGAATTCTATCTGTTGAATTCCTGCAGAGGGCACAGAGCAAGGACTTCTAAAGCAGCCGATTCAACCAAGGGCTGAAAAGTAAAGCTAAACAAATTCAAATTCTGTATAAACCCACCAGCACTTGGACACTGTCTAGCTTTCCTCACTCCTTCTTGGATCCAACTGGAAAGAAGGGGTTTTATTATGTGTTTGTTAGCTCAGCCACTGCTACAAACTCCTGACAGGAGATTTCCCAGAGAGAAAGGAGTTGGGAAGGGAGGTGCTATTAAATGGACTGTCCACAATCACAGTATATCCTCAGAAACCCCAACTGTCACTTTCTTCTATGGCTAGTTGACAGAAGCCATGAACATCATGTCCACTAAAGTGCAAGTCTGAACAGCTGCTGACCTCTTTGTTTTGCACAGAGCGTGCACCTATGTAGCAACACGCACATTACGCAATAGTAACTCAGAAACTGAAAGGAATCTCATTGCTAAATCCATCCATGTGGATGAGATTTTTTTATTTCCATTACGTGATAATTTAATTGCTCAATTAACTCCACCTGAATACCTTGGCTGTGGAAGAGGAATGTTCTCTCGCAGGTCATGGTAAATCAGATGACAGGAGGCAAGTAAGCAATGCAAAGATAAATTATTCCTCTACAGCAAACCAAGTGCATCATCCAGTTGTATTTTCTCTCCTGATCTGCTCCTCACACTACATGTTTTAGGGACAGAATGGGTACCAGACAAATAAAAGACCATAAAACTCTGGTCAAAAGCCAGCATCACAGGAGGCCTTCCCTACACGGCTTAATCCCAAAACTTTCTTAGCCAATTCAAGCCTAGCTTGAACATTTCTTTTTGCATTTCTGAAATTCCATAATATGCCTAATTTAGGTAACAGTGTAGTCTCCTCTTTGATGAGGACTTTGAAACATCTGCTGCATCACTGAACATTGTATTACTGCTTTCCTTTAGCCAAGAAGCAAGTGGAAAGGAAGCCATTAAAGTGGCACTTGCTGATCATTCTGGAGCAGAGGGGGACTGACCGGAGGCCTGTGAATGGAGTTCTTGTGCATCAACAGACCATAGCAGAGGGGTTTGGTTCCAAAGAAAATGAATGAATGGCCTGTAGGGAGGTACACCTTGATGGATATTTTAACCAATTTCTTAGGATTAATGAGAAAGCAATCACTTCTGCTGCAGAAGCAGTGTACTCCAGGCACCTGGATTCCAAGAAATTAATTGTATCACAGCATTCAGAGAAATCAAATAACATGCAGTTACCAGAGAAATCTGTATTTGTAATGGATTGGCTACTGCGTAGGAAGGCCCTGGCTCTGAATAAATGCATTTGACAAACAATTCCGTTCTGAACAGTTCTTGCCCTGCACTCTACATTGGAGTGCCTGTTTCTGCCCACCCAAAAACTCACCACTACTGATCCAGTCCACAGCCAGGAAATCTAGCTCACTCATGTCTTCCTCTGGATAGGTAATGACATTGCCCTCTTTACCTCACAGCTGGAAAGTAACTGAAAGCACTTTCTGAATAGTGGCTTTCCCAGACTCCTATTGCTAGATTACACTGATCCCAGGCTACACTGCAAGAAAAAGTACTCAATGGACAGATACTCAGAGTTTGGATAAGATAATTGGCATTCACTGTGCTTCCTTTGGTATTTAGTATTAAACAATATCAGTAGATACACTTTCTCCATGTGTCTTTTAAGGCATTATGCCTTCTGAGGTAAATCATTACTGTATGCCCTGATGTGAAATATGACCCTAATCTGCACATTATTTATCTGCGTGTTGCCTGGATCTAATTTAGTCTGTTTCTCTCTCTCTCTCTCTCTCTCTCTCTCTCTCATCTGTATTTCTGTAACACTGGTTTTACTAACAATCCTCTCTGGAGACAGGAAATAAATTTTTATTCATGAAGCCAGCACAAACAAAGATCAGGAAAGAATAAGACTAATAAGAATAAATGAGTATTCTTCAGGGCACAGAACCTTAAAGATAATCAAAGAGGCAAAAAGGTGAGCGGGGAGGAGGGTCATTATTGCAGCAAACTACACATAACCTAATCATGCCTTCTTTCATAAGGTGAGTTGCACCGGAACACAAAATAAAGCTACAGCAGTCAAGTTCGTAAAATCTCCCTCTCCTGCCCATGTCAAAACCTGAGTGCTCCTGTACAGTTAATGAAATCATGTTAGATTATTTATTAATATTATTTCTCATTTATAAGTTAGGGCAAAAATTTCTATTAAAAATAATTTTAAATTGCTCAGGGAGATAGGAAAGTCTCTATCACTAGAGATTTTTAAGTTCATCTGCCAGGATGCTTGAGAGCATGCCCATGTTGTTAGATCCTGCCTTGGGCCAAGGGAGATGACACAGAGAAACTCTGTGATCTTGCAAGGTCTTTTCTAGCTATTCCTGGAACCATTCTATGAAAATGGCCTGGAGAAGCAGCAAACTAAAACCTGGTAAAAGAGACACTTCTGGTTTGTGTTCAACTTTGGAACAAAAAACCAAAAAAACCCACAAAAAAACCCAAAACAAACAAACAAACAAACAAAACAAAAAAAAAGGCTTGAAAAGTCTACATCTAGCAAAGTAACAAAACAAGAGTTTACAACTGAAGTCGAAGACAGTGAGTGCTAAAGGGAAAAACATCCTCTGCTACATGATCCCTATTTAAGGTCTTCTCACGAACACTGTCATTAAATCCCTACCCATATTATAATTTTGAACAACTCCTTCAAACTCCATTTGTGAACTTCCCCCTAGTAGTACTCATTTCAATAATCATGAGAGCTCAAATTAAGTCATTCCTAAATGCTCCTTTCCTAAACTCTTCCCTGAATCCACCTATAAAACTTGTAGAGTTGAAACACAATTTACTCAGCAGATTATTGACCCCCTTTTGCTTTTTAGGACACAGTGTCTCCTGAATTCTTGGTCATTAGAAATCATCAGCCTGTTGACTCTACAAGTACTCACCATGCTAGAAAATCCTGTTTCTGCCTCATGCCATGCAAAGTCTAATTGGATGTTACTTTGACCTGAAAAACAAGAAACAAAGTAGGTTTGTAGCCAGACCTTGAGCTGCTGACTGTATCTGCATCAGGAAAAGGTGCATCTCTAGCAATCACAAATTATACTTAAAATATGTATTTTCTTGGTCAGATCCTATAAATTAGGGCAGTTCAAAAGAGGTGAATTTGATTAGAAAGCACTTGTCCCAAATGTCATAATGACAATCGTGGAAATTGAATGAAAACCAGAAAGGAGCTAAAAAATAGTAGCAACTATACATAACCAGCTTGGGAAACAGATAACAGAAGTGAGAGTTGATGAGGAACCGTTGGAAAAAAAACAAACCAAAACAATCCCCTACCTTCCAGTAGACAAAAACTATCAGAAGTGTACATTAGTATAAAAACAAATGCATCAACCTATGAAAACTATGAAATCTATCTGTAATAATCAGACTGTCCATTAGGACATTCATAGGGTAAAATCTGTCAACAGTAATACAGAAAAGGTAGATATTTCTTATAATTATTTTCTGCTCTGGAATGCGAGATGATGTATATCCTATCCTAGCTTAAAACAAATAACTCAGACTGTTGTTTAAATAGTACCCAGAGCCGTACAAGACGTCTGAAAATCTGATAGGCAACACTCTGTTTCTGCAAGTCATATTGAAAAACAAGTAAGTTCCACAGGTGAGAGAGAAAGCTGATCTCTAGAAGTACAAACAGGACAATCCAGGACTAAAAGCTCAACATCTGTCCAAAGGTGGGAAAGGGAACTCTCTTTTTGCACCAGGAGGGAGGACATTCCAAAAGCAGCTGCCACCCAGGCACCACGTGGCAGCCCATCCATCACACCCTTGATAAACTCCTCAGGTTTCCAGGAAGCCACAGGCACTAACATTTTCACTGAAGGCCTCCACAGCCACTGACTGCTCAGAACACCTAAGTCAAGGGTGGCAAAGTTCTGTTCACAGAGGAACACTGAGCTGGGAGGATGCTGAGCTGCAAGATAAAGTTCAATATCTGGTGCAGTAGGGCACTGGGACAAAATAATCTCTCAGATATTTGGAGAGAATAGCCAGGAAATAGCTCAAATACCTCTAAGTGTGTACCATGGAAAACTTTATTAAAAAAACAGGAATAAGTTTAAGAGTCATTAAGAAATGGGAGGGTTTGTAAGAAGAGATGAAGAGACAATTTTAATTCAAAATGTTTGGATTAAGTAAACACAACTGTATCTTAATCTACTCGGGATGCAATCAGAAAGCCACAGGTAAGATGGTAAATTTGCCTTTTTTTACTCCACCTAACTTACAGAAAAATCTGCAGACCATTTCAGTATAAAGATAAAACATTCTGGAAGAACTTGATGATTGTTACTTTATGAATTAAAAGTGTTTCTATTCCATTTCTTGAGATTTTATCATGCAAATCAAGTAGAAATGGGTGACTGAACGTGCCAAAAGACTTAACATAACTATTACAATGTTTCCTTAAGCAAATACTCTGATACCTGTCACTAGTTCAAATTTAATCTTGTCCCAGGGTTAGAAAGCAGGTCATGGTAAATTATGTTTGCCATGTTGTTGTCAAACTTCAAGGCATTTTCATACCAAAGGCACATGAAAAAATTTCCACGCCATCTGACTTCACTGTTACCTCTTGGCTGCTACAGGATTCCAACTTATTTGCCTTTTTTGAAGAATGCAAGCACTGAAGGACAATTTAATCCTTTAATTCTTACAGAATTTAGGGACAGTTTCTCTAAATGAGCCTGAAAGAAGTGCCAAGTTTTTATTTCACTATTACATGCAAACCTGAACTGGAGTTTGGTAGAAAGCCCCACAGTTCTGGTGTTTGAGATCTAAAAGCACTGTCAATTTTCTTTCCTGTTGCAAGCTCATCAGATTTCAAGCACATTTCCATGTTTATAAAGCAGTTGAGCTGACCCAACACAAATGAACAGATGGAAAGCCACAGGAAACCAGAGCACTACCAATTACCTGCAGTTGAATACTATTTCTGAGAGATAATACAAGATGCTGATGAAGTGTAGATAGTCGCTTTTGGAGCCTTGTGTGCCAGCTGGCGAGGTCTGGGCTTTCTCTTCAGACTGCAGCCATCCCCCAGCTGACCTGCTGCTGGCTAAGAGTGACTCAAGCAGGAGCAGCACTGACAGCCCAGCCCTCCCGGTTCTGCAGCTTGGGACTCACACTCTTGCTCCCGGGAGGCACCCCAGGGCTCCCCTTGGAGCTCCGATACATGCTGCTCCACAGCACCCCTCCTTGCATTCAAAGCATGCCCACAGTGCCTCAGGAAAATCTCAGTTTCAGCATTAACAATGAAGAATTAGTTAACAGAGCAGAGTGAGGAAGCACGTTAACAACATCTTCTACTTTGGATACGAAAGAGTGGAGTGCATTTGCTGACTAACAGTGATGATGGGATGGAAAGGCAGTTGGCATCTCTGTGAGGGAGGAAACAGTTCCTGAGTGATGCTATGGGCAGTACAGGAAAAGCTGTGCATTGTCTGTCACGGATCTGACTCCCACTGCTTCCACAGCTCCTTTGATATGATGATATGATGAGCCTGGAACACTAAAGAAGAATGAATCAACAGCTAGAGATCTCTGGGTAAAAGTGTTAAATACCAATGGAAAAAATAATAGTATTTGCGCAACCCTGAAATGGAAAATCTCAAATACTATATAAGCCCATTTGTAAAAAAGTAACCTGTGAAAAGTAAATGCATATGGGCCTGATGTTCCCCTTCCTGAGATACACACACATTGCCCAGAGAGCAGAAAGCAGTTTTTGTAAAAGACCACCGAGATTCACAGGCTCACTGGCACCCTGCTGACAAAGGACGAGGACAGAAGACCAGCCTCCCAGGAAAAGGCATGCATGTGAACAGGATAAGAGACAGTCCTTCCAACACTTTCTGACTGAATTTCCTGAAGAAACTTTTAAATGGTGAAGATTCATGGATCTCTCCAGGTTTTCTGGGGTCAAAGGCATGCAAACACCCAGGAGTAGAATCTCCCAATGCTATCAACTACTGCAAAAGAGGTTCACTTTTTCCCAATTATCTTCTGTAAGGGAAGATTTGACCAGCCAAGACTACTCCCTCTTATTTACCTGTTTATGATCAAAATTTTTTGTCAGCTGCTAGTCAAGCACTCCACAAGTCTTCAAATACCCTTCACCTCATGCCTCAACCTCCACCCTCACCACAAAACAGAGTGACTCAAAGTCTGCCCACACAGATCATGGCCTAGACAGCTGCTGATCAGGATGTGGAGGATTCAGTCACATCCTGAAAATGGAAAAGGCCAAAAAATGGGACAGACGGGATGGCACTGACAGCAGAGCAGCAGATTTATCAGATGGGCAGAACTACCATTAAAATTAATCTATTTCCAGACTGTCGCTTCTACTTGCAGTGTTTATTTGCAAGTACAGTAGAAAGGTAGAACAAGAATGTTCTCATGGACTGGATATATGCAAGGTCAGCAGTAGTGCATCAGTATTAGCCAGATCTTCCTCAGCAGAAGGTCATGCAAACTACAACATTATGAAAAATCATCACAAAACACAGTTGAAGACTGGTATGAACTGTTAAGCCTGGAACAAGGTAATAGACTACATACATGTGAGTTGGATGAACATTAAGTTCAGGTAGATTTATAGCATTTTAGAACTCACGGTTTTATTCATGCTGAGAAGCCTAGCTCAGCTTAGAATGCAGAGTCATGACAGTGCCATGAGATCAAGGAAAAAAGTTTGAAGTTCCTTTGTATGAGAAACACATCTCAGCAATTCCATTCCAGAATTGTTCTATCAGTAAAAAAAAATTATGTCATATCCAACAACTCCTACCAACCTTCATGGCAGGACTTCGAAGATTTCAGTATTGCAAATCTATTTCTTATGCTATTTTTGAAAGGGCTCTGACCATGGGTGATCCTCGGCAGCCCTGCTGCATCCAGGACACTTCCACTGACCGAGGTACACACTATTTGTATTTCTGCTTAAACTTGGATCTTGCCCAATGAAAGGCCTGGCTTTCTTCCACTGCAGCTCTATTAGCATTGGCAGCAAAGAGAATTTATGCAGAGTAAAGGGACTGGCATTCCTTTTACAATAGGGCCAATTGTCTCAGGCTGCCACGTTCAGTTAAATGTTTACTTTGTTGTTTCACAACTCCACAGGAAAGAAAGGTCAGACAAGCCCTACTGCAGAACCAAGATGTTGTCATTCATCTGTTCACCTCAAGCCAAGATTCCAGTGGGAGACTAGTGCTTTCCAGTTTTTTTTCCTTTTCCTCCAGAAGTCAGACACCAGGTAGTAAATTAACACTCCAGCAATTCTGCCAGTCTGATTCCATAGTCTAAAAAAAAACATTAGCTGTCAGAGTATTCTATCGAGATCCTGAAAGAGGAATATTGCCAGGATTTGTTCACCAAGCCTGGCTAATTGAGAAAGATTATTCTCTTGAGACTACCCTTGAATACCATTCTTTTTGGCACACTCGAAGATGAGAGCTAAAGCCAAGACAGAGCCATGACCATGCAGAGTTTCCTGTAACACAAAACCCTCTGCTTGAAGTGGTGAAGACCCTACTCAAAATCAGAGTCCTTCAGAAACTGCACTCTGCCAGCACAAGGCTAAAATAAGAATAACTGTTTAACAGGAATGAGACTGCTATTATTGACTTTTTATAAACAGATAACCTGCAGTTTTGTTCTCAGTTGAAGTATGAACGCACACAGACAGACACTTGGCCACCTATGCCGTTAAAAATAGCCAAAATCTTCCTTAACCTGTGCATGTTTTCTTTCTCTGTTCAATTAACACAGGGAAAGAAACAACAGATTACAAAATGGAAACCTGTCACAACAGTAACCAAGCTATTATTGTCAAGAAATATGCATGGGTCAAATAAACATAATGTAATTTGCAACTAATGGCAAAGATGCTCTGAGCCTCTACAGCAAACATAGGTTATTTAGCCCTGGCATGAACAAGTCCTGCTCTGATGAAACCTGGACCACATTGTTTCTGATGGTCTCAGCAGCCAGATGATTGTTAAGACACTGCCTTGGATGGGGTGGGTCATACAACAGCAACACCAGTTTCTCTCCACTGACTGCTGAGGAAACCAAGATAACCACCTCCAAAGCAGAAGTTTATATTTGGACAGGCAAATCCTTCCTGCTTTTTCTCTTCCTGAGCACAGCATACACTTCACAGATTCAACAATAACTCTAGGACCTGAAGAGATTGGCGTGCCTGCAGAGTCTGGGAGATTTCAGCTTCCTGAAAGACCATAACCTCAAAACCGCATCATCAGACCTTTTCCGGAATACACAGGGAAATCCCAAATTGGGCAGGAGGAAGGGAAGTTTAGGGATGACAAAAAATCACCACCACAGCTAATGGAGAAGATGGGTATTAACCAAACCTTCCACCTTTTGAGCTGCTCACACAAAGTAAACAGTACTTATTATATAGCTGGTTAAAAGCATAGGATGAGCAACCTGTACACTCTTCCAAGATGACAAGCATGTATCCGACCCCCAGACTCCTTAAAGAAACTACAAAATCTATCACTGACCTAAGGCAGCAGCAGAATTTCACTGGAGAAACAGATTTCTTGAAAACTGTCCAGTCTATAAACAGTCAGCCACATAACTCTGTGATGCACAGAAAATCTCTGGAGATGACTCATAATTCCTCCTCACAAAGCTGATGGGAACATTCTTGGGCCAGCTATTCTGGCCACAAGTACTCTTCTAGTCACTGGATAAGAGCTTTGTCATTCACAGCAACCCATACCAGTAGAGTCCTGACTCCTCTAAGCAAAGACCAGGTTTTTACAGACCAGACCTGATCAGACAGACTAGGCTCTTCACTTCAAAATGGTCAGAAGTCTTCAAGTAATCTTCAAGTTCATATATGACTGTGGGTATATTTTGTCAAGTCAGTAGGATTTTCATTCCCAAGTTAATACCGTTATATAAGCAAAGAAAATATTTTCCTATACAAACTATCTTATATCACATACTATCCTAGCCAAACAGCATTTTAAGTTATATTTGGAGACTGAAACGCCACCACTGATAACTTGCAAATAGGTAATAGGATACAGAGTGCTTTACAATATTACTGTATTCCATTCTAATTCCACCAAATCACTCAGAGTTTTATTTTGTAACTGAGATGCAACAGGGCTATTGGGGTACTGCATTCATAAATTCATAATATGTAACAAAAGTACTGACCTCCTGTCACAAAGATAATACAAGCAGATTTATAATTTTGCTCATAGTGTCACCACAAATAATGTACAACACAAAAGATATTTCATTTCTCTTCAAAATTACTCAGGTAAGTCCATGACACATTAAAAAATTTGTCAACAAGATTTCTTGGAACATTGGATATCTGCCATTTTACTCAAGAATTGCACGTATCTCAGTCTCTTGGCTAACAGAATTTAAACAGGAACATCCACAGTGGTTTTTAGAAGATACTACCATATTTTATTCTAAAAGCCAGAGGGACGAGCCCTCTGCTTTATATACTTACATGCATGCTTCATTTGGCTGACTGTAAATACAGCTTTTCGGAGCTGAATGTTACAGCTTGATGACACCGAGTAAACAGTAGTGACTCATGCTCTTATGAAAACAGGTGGTCAGAAATGAGATGTGCTCCATTAAGACACTGCCTCTCATCTTTTGAACCTTCTCAGAAGGGGAATTTGAGAGCATGCAGGAGCAGCAGCACAGACAAACATCAAACATATTTTGTAAAGAGCTTGAAGAAACCCCACCTCTGCAGAGCACAGAGATCTCATGCTCATCTTACAGTGCAGAAACCATTAATATGAAGAATGCAGTGGGGACCCCACTTCTAGCTCTCTGTAACACTCAGCATGGAAATTTAGGCTCTGATCCAAAGCCTAGGTGTGCAGCCTGGACTCTGTTGTGCTGAGACTGCTGTTAAGACTAAGAAGGTGCACAAGCTTTACAAGGTCAAATTGCAGACAAAGGTGTAATAATTGAGACATGAAGAACAGGCCAATGATTCAAGGAAAGAAATACTGACATAAAAAGGTAACACAAAGCCAAAAAAAAAATCTAAGAAGAAAAGAACAAAGAAATTTCAGGTTTTGTACAAATTCTACTCTCTGTGAAGTCCCAGTGCTCTTGCAGATGTTCATGCAACTGCTCTTCTCCCTTGATCACAACTCACTGATATTCTACCACAGTCAGAGAAAAACACCGGCATGAAAATGATTGCCATACATCTTCCTTTATAGTCCTTCAGATGATTCATAAGCAATTACTTAGAAGTCATAAAATTGTTCATCTATGGGGATGAGTCAGAGAATTAGGAAGTGACTCATATTCCAGATTATCTTATGTGGACCTCAGAGTCTTTTGTCAGGATTCCTTCAAGACCAAAACTATTGTTAAGACTGATTGCTTTGTGACACAAGCACTGTTGTTGACTGATTAAAAATATATTGTAAGAAGGAGAGAGGTGAGGCTCAGCATGCTGAAGACAAACACACACACTGTTTCACTGGCCATATTTACTTTTATACATACATGTTGGCCATATTTCCAACAGCCCACTGCCAAACACTTGAATGCAAATAACAGCTATCTGATGTTAGGACAGTAAATAAACCCCCACACTGTTATATTTACAAGCATAAACACTCATAATTATTTATTACAAAAATGAGTGTTATCTACCACTTGGTAACACCTAGGAATAAATATGGCAAAATATTTTTAAAATACTACCTACACCTGGTAAAGGGCTTTCAGGCACCTTATGAGCTCGGTTTGGGTTTTTGTTTTGTTTTCATTTGGTTTAATGTTCAGTTGGTTGGTTTGGTCTTTTGTTTGTTTGAGGTTTTTTATTTGTGTTTTTTTTCCCCCTCAGAAATTTAACTGAGTACTAATAAAGGCATATCTATGTTAAACATCTTTCTGGATGCTAAGTAGTGCTATAAAGTGAACATCATCCAAACAGTATATAATTCCTAGACATATGCTACAGTTATTTACTGCAATGCACATCTAAGCAAGCTAAAAGTAAATTTCATATTTCCTAGAGCTTTACTCCTGTTCAGTCCTTAATGCCTGCTCTTTATAGTAAGTGGTTTGTGATAGTATGTAGGTGGAATCTGGAAATGAAAGGCTGTTCCTCAATCATGGCTATACTGTGTGCTGAGAAGTTAATTTTATTACTCATGCATTCACAGAAGAGGCCAGAAGGACATGGGCACAACCATAAAACAGATTCTGTAGTGGTTTTCATATGGGGATTATTTCTTATCAGCAGCAAGGAAATGCTTTATTAATCTGTCAGACACCACTAAGGGGCCATTCACCTCTGCTATGATGAAATCAGAGCAAAACTACACTTGAATTAATTTTTCAGATTGTAGAGAGATGATTAGGAACCACAAAGGAGGAATGTAGTGTTCCAGATTCTGAAGTTTGTGGAGTCTAGGTTCATACTATAATACTACTTCACACAGCATGGTTTTACTTACCTTTAGTAACCACAGCACGATGGCAGTAAATTGTGACAGTCTTGATAAAATACCCTGGTGTTTAATAGGATAACAACCAAGTCTGGTTACACTTTTGGCACAAATCGCCAAAGAACGTCTGTTTTAAAAAGTAGCTGCTACAATTACAGCTATATATAAGGGATTAGCAATGCCTTCTTTGAAATATACCTTCATACTCTCATAGGCATGTTGGCAGCTGGAGGCAAACTGAACTGAAAATAAGCAATATTATTTGGAGTACACATTGTGACACAGAAAATACCAACCATCTTGTCAATCAGCTCTTCAGAAATTAAACAGATTGTAGAAAAGCCGTCCCTTAGCATTTGTGGTTTGCAGCAACCAATAGCTCAAAGCATTAGGCTCAAAATGAATGAGCAGGAAAGGGAACGCTTAAGCAGTTCCAACACGTTGAGTCCTGCACACCACAGTGCGGTGCTAGAGACCGAGACTGGCTTGGCCTTCACTCCCAGGTGACTCTGCAGAACTTGCAGTCAAGACTAGGACAGAGCCTGTTCATCCACACTGCCCTCACCCTTTACCTGAGAAACACATCCAATGCTTCACTCTGTGCTGCCCATCCCATGAGCTCTGTAGCTAAAGAGAAGTGTGTTCATACACCTAAAGAAATTCAGAGGGAAGAACTGCATGACGCAAATGATGACACAAATTCTACCATCTCACTGCTTTTCTTTCATAGCACACAGGTCCAACAGCATGGCCAGCTCTCCAAGCTGCCAGTTCACAGCTGTGCACACCAACTGTGGCACAATGTTGGCAGAAGTGTCAGGGGGCTCTGCCTGTTGGATCGAGCTTGCACAGCTTCTGCGTATCCAACCACAGCCTGGGACTAAAGCTTTTAAGCTCTGTCCAATAATAATGGTTATCAGTTTGCTCTTCACAATGAAATTCCCTGTTCCCAAAAAGAAGCCAGGAGTTTCACTGAGGTAGCAATAACACAGAGATGTAGAGGCTGATTCTCAACTACCTATGTAGAGTTCAAAGTAATTTCTTGCTAACCTTGCGTCTTTAAAAAAACTTTCTAAACATGATTTGGGGCTGTATTTAAAGTTGACCACAGGAAGCAGAAAACAGGAAAGTCCAGGAGAAGCCTTGTCTTCCCCTCAGGCACTTCCTGTACTAGTGACAAAAGCATAATGCAAAATTGCTACAAAAATGCTTCATGTTTAGGTTATTGTCTTCCTTTTAGGCAAGAATTATCTGTTCATCAAAAATCACGGCCTTGAAGCAACAATGCCTACCTCTGCGTCACTGTGTCTGGTTACACTGAAAGCTTTTGGGAACTTATCTCTGATAAACAAAGTAAAGGAGTAAACTCAGAGAATGAACCAGAAAATAAAGTCTGAGAATGATCCAAACCAAACCAAAGCTCTTTATTTTTCCTCCCCCTCTTCAAGCACACTCAGAGCTTAACAGTCATTTGATATGCTAGGTCACCCTATGCTAAAAGTGAATTACCTATACTCCTCTCCACTAGCTAATGAATGAAGAGCTCAATGGTCCCTGTAAGGAGAAAGCAGACAATTCAAGCATTCCCAAATTAAAAACAGACATCACAAACAATTGAAAAAGCCACAAATTGTTCCCTGATATCCACATTTATGCAATATCCCCAATGACAATGTTAACAATGAATTCTCTCTTCCTGCTTAGACATCTAGGCAATAAAAGCAAGAATATACAAAAGACAAAACGTTCACAAAAACTTTTTCACAAGTATTAATCTCTTTTTTCCTTCCCACGCTGTCTACAAGGTAGCCTAAAGAGCCTTTTTTTAAACTCTGTTTAAACAAAGTCTGTAACAGTTAGGCTCAATCTCAATGCACGTTTGCTCCAGTCATGACTTGACCCTACACTGAAGTAAGAGTTTGGCATGTGCTAGCAATTCATTTTCCATATATGCTTCATTGCCACAGACAGAAAAGGAGTATGTGCACAACCAGGTAGGCAGATCATGCTCTATTTTGACCTGGATGACTGGAGAAGCAAGATCTCGCAGTGTCCGCTTCTTAATCTGGATGCAGCATATGATCTCTGCTGCACACCAAACAGGGATGTTTCTCCACACTGTTCCCCTTGTCATGACAATTTGTGCTTCCCTAGTCTCACTGAAATCTCTGCATCCTTCTCTACTGCTCCCCAAAGCTCCTGACAATCTTGAACAAGAGAAAACTAGACAGCAAAGATGGGTTCTTAACCATAAGGGTTATTGCATTCGTATTCACAAAACTGACAAAGGAAGAGGGAAGGAATAAAAAAACCCCGAATAAAAAAAGGAATAAAAAAAATCGACACGGGACTGAGGGAAAGCTTCCATTTGTTAGTGATAAGTGTTAGTGAAGACTTCAAGATGTTCTCACAGCTCACGGCAAGAACAGCACACAGGTTTTCACTTTAGGTGAACATGGAGTCGATAGACCCCCATTTCCTGATGGTTGTTACCACACAGGCAGGATTCATGTGCATGTTTCTCTTCAAAATTAGTGCTCAGTACTGTCTGCAGAGCCTTCAATATTCCTTCCTCAAAAAAATGCTCATCATTTCACCCCAACTTTTGCAACTGAGAGGGCCTTCCTGTCATAAAAGGATATACTAGGATACAGAATATGTTTCAATCCTTCAGCAATAAGCGACTGACTCTTGTGTGTTACTATAGAAAACTGAAGACAAAGACTTTTTTTTTAAAGGGTATTTTCTAGAAGGCCTAAGTAGAGGTGGGGTAAACTGCAGCAGGAGAAACTTGCTTGTGTGGGTGATTTCAGAGTGCAAGAAACAGATAACCACATATTAATCAGCTTTGGGCTCCAGCTGTAACAGCATTTCTCTCCACATTGAGAGAAAGATCCTGTGACTGACAAAAAGCAGGGAAAGTAGCTTTCTAAATCACCTTCTAAGATGAGGGACTGCAAATCAAAGAGTTCAGCAACTTTGACTCCTTCAGCTAATGGGCACACAACAAAAGGCATGATGGGTCCTGAGGCAAGTAGATGAGATAAGACTCTAAAATGCCCACAGTCTTTCAACTCCTTAACAGCATCTTCTTGACATCAGTTCAAACCAAATCAGTTCCTTTAATCCACATTTAAATAGTTCTAATGCCACATTCCATCTGAAGGAAGTTCACTTGCCTGATTTTTTGCTAATACAGGTGACCCTGGATTGTCAGTCTTCTCTCTACCCTCCCTTTTCACAAAGGCCTAACTCCACAGACTCATGAAGACATCAAAAGTGACATGAGACCATGTGCCCACAGCAGTGTACACATGACACATGAATTAGTGCAGTTCTGCACCGTGCAAGGGTGTGCAGAGGCAGTGGACAGGATCCTCAAAGACGGGCAAGTTTGAACATAGATATCTTCATAACAAATGTCACCATGACTGAAAACTCATTGTCACTTTGGTGGGTTTTATGAACAGTGAAGTCCACCACTCCTGAATGAAAAGAGCCCACTAGTTACACGTATTCCAGTTCATTAGCCTAAACCCTTTTGGAAATTATATATTATCTAATATTCCCCCCAGTACATCAGGTTCCAAACTATAGTTGCTTTGCTGAGACGCTGTCTTTATTGCAGCACGTTTAAGATGCAGCATCTTTAAGAGAAACATGCAAAGTAATTTACATAATGCAATAAAAAGATTTTCCATTTCGAATATTTTTATGTGTCAAACTCAAACTCAGTTCATCAGGTCCTGATGAGACCTGAAAGTAAGGCAGTTTGTTTTTGCCTCAGAATAGGGAGTATTCCTTTTGATTTAACACATTAAGGAGTATAGAAGAGAGATATCTGTGCTGAGTCTTGAACCCTTTGAGATCTACCACCTTCCATTAGTAAACTCATTCGCTGGTACTACCCTCATGGGCAAGCTTATAATTAAATAAATAAATAAAAGTCCTTTTCAGATGGTTTTATTTATGTCTACAGTCTGTTGTCCCCTGTGTGGGGATGCAGGACAAACTCACAACGTGGTGCTATATTCTACATAAAGAGTTCTGCCCAAGACAAAAAAAAAAGCACTTTGTATTATATACTGTTTCTTTCAAAGTCTTACTGAAAATCTGCAAACATTCAGTTTCACCATTCTGAGTACTTATATGATAGATAGCTAATATGAATATACAAGAAAGTGAATATATTTATAAAGTATTTGGAGGAATACAACGTAGTATCATTCTCCTACTTCCTTGGGCACGCCTTCCCCTACAAGAATCCCATCCTTTAGCAACATATATCCAGGTAATTGTCTTCCTGATGATGGAGGTATTCCTTACTATGACAGACAACATTCTGTTCCTGATGCTACTGACAGACTCATGAAATACTTCAGTAGCTAGGGGAAAATAAGACATTAGAAGTGTCCTTAACTGTCTTAGTTGGACAATGTTATGCCAATTTTGTGCTCAGAAAAATTTGAGATTTTTAGGGACAAATGTGCCCCAGAGTGTGTGTGTTACAACTGAAAGTTAATTCTTCTAGGTTGTCCTTTTCCCTTTCCATGAAAGTGACAGCATGCTGCTTTACAGGAAACAGATATTGCTTCCTGTAGACAAAGTCATGTAAAATGAGATTGTGGGAAATAATGGATTTTTTTTTTTTAATCTACAAAATAAGTACTTAAACCCCCCCTCAACAGATTTTCTGTTTGAGACTCACAGACTTGCTGCAAGTACTGCTGTCCTCCTCTGCCTCTGGGAAAGCAGATAAACCTTATCAAGAAGTAATTAGAACAGAGAGCAAGCCGTGTTGTCAGCTGAGCCAATGCAGGTATACCCTGTTACAATTCCGTCTCTTACCACTGCCTACTTACCAAATAAACTGACCAAATGAGTCAGTCATTGCAACAAAATGATGTAATGCATAAAAACTTTGAACTAGTAACCTCCAATATTCTTTGAACACTCTGGAATAACCCCTGCATTAGTCAGGGAGCAGCAAGTACAGGCTGCCGCTGCTTTGGTGAGTCACAACAAAAGAAACTTGGCATCTCCTACAGGTTTGTGTAACCCTCCTTCTCATGTTCTTCCATGAAAAGGCAGTGTCTCCCCAACTGAGCACATAATACAAGCACATCTGTGATGCTGGCTACATTCCTACTAGATCCTGTCAATGACACTGGGGCAATGTGTGCCCCAATCACTAGTGCTCCTGATCTGTGCTCCTCTGTGTTTACATACATCTATCAATTAAAACAGATGCATTCTGCACTGAATATTTATCCAGCTAACCTTCACCTGAAGATAATTTGAGTGTCTAAGTCAAGCAGTCTAGTCTTATGCTTCCTGTAGACGGTTTGTGTCCGCAGAATTAATTTCCAATCCCTCATGAAATCCACCGAATTACAAATAGTACTTTTCCAATTATGTAGCCTTCACTGGCTTAGACAGTCCTTCTGTAAAAAGGCAAACTTCAAAACCTACCATCTTGAGAGATGTTTCTGAAAGCTGCTCCTTCAAGTAGGACACACAGTGGGTTAACAGCAGAAGCTGAAGCTGCTTCTACTACTGCTTCAAAACCACAAATATTAGCAAAGAACTGTTAATTCTACCCCAGCTTCTTTCTTTCCAATTATTCTTCCTACTCAGCTCCAGTTCCAAACCGTATGTAGAATTCAAGGTATACTGCAGACAGCAAATGACTTACCCCTTGCACTTTGAAATGGAGAAGCATCATCTTCCTCCTTCACATCATGGTTAGTCTGCCAAAAGCAGAAAAGCCCTCTCTGGATCCAAGAATACTCCTATTTTCTTCTCCATACAAAACATAATGAGATTTTAAACTTCTAATTCCTAAAAAATTAACTCAAAATTGCAAGCAGCTTTCATAAAAGATGCCTGGCAGAAAATACCTTAGTATTTGATGAATTCGAACATAATCATGCATTTACTTATTTTAAAGCTAAATACTTGAAAGTTGACAAGACCAGGATGCAAAGCAAGCTGGGCTGTTTTGCTCACCAGCTCCAGTAAGCCCAGCGAGTTACCTTCTCAACAACACAGGCACAGATCTCTTAGATCTGGCATAGAAATAAAAGGAATTAGCATGTTCAATCAAGAAAAAGAACCTCCTGTTATCTATGCAGCTGGGAAATTGTGCATATTTGGACAGCAGACCTGGATTAATGCTTCTCTAGCTTCTACAATTTATAAAGTTACATCAGAGTGGTCAAGAAGCTTAAATAAAAAAAGAACAAATATTAATGGGTAAAAATCTCAGATTCTTATCCTACTGAACAAAAGCACCCTCACTGGAGCACTGCACGTGCTCTTTAAGACAGGCAGTGACATCTTGGCTGAAACATCAGTGGTTCTCAACATCCTCTCAGTCACATGAGTGAAGCTACAGCTTCTAAAAAGCGCTAATATCTCGTGTTTGCAACAAGGCTGTGGGAGCAGACTAACAAGGGAGAAGGGCAAATAGCTGACTTAGGAATTCCCCTCTGATCGGTACACACTAGTCCATTTCCATCATCACCTGCTCAGACAGGACAACGCTAGGGTCTCCATCACTGATCATCTCCAGTTTTTGCTTTGTGTTTGTGTAAATCTATTTCTCTTCCTCAGCAGCAGCTTTGTGGACTTCCATCTTCTTATCCTTAAGGATGCAGACAGTTAGCCTGACAGTGTTTCAGCTTCCTAACAATCAGCTCAGGATCTTTGCACTGCTGGTCCTTTATGGGCATGAATGCAACTTAGGAAGCATTGGAGGAGGCAAATATTAGAAGTACACCTTGCCATGTCAACTTTTAACAAAACAACAGATGACACATTAACCTCACACTGATTACTGCTTACAGAACTTCTCCATTTCCTTAGTCTCTTGGCTCGGTAAGCAGCAGAAATGGTTTGTCACCAGAACCACTAGTGGTTCAGTAAGCGTTCCAGCTTTCCCTCTCGGCATTCCAAGCAGAGGAATCAGCCACAAAGGGTTTTTTTCCTTTTCTTCTGATTAACACACTCAGACACAAGTTTGCACATGGCAAGCACTGCACATATTTTGGTATGATAACAAACACCTGGTAAGCAGAGGCTGGAGTGACGGAAATCACCTTACTGGTTCAATGGAAGACTAACTACAGAAGAGTCCACGAGGTAAAGACATTCCTAAAATTTAACACATTAATCACAGCAAGGGAAAGCTGCAAAGTAAATCTGAACTGCCTGCTGTGACAACTCCAGAGGTTTTGTGCTGAGCCCAATGAAAATAACTGCTCTCACTTCCTAACAGCACTACAAGGAATAATGGCAGTAATCGCATAAGAACAGAAAGAGGTAGTCTCTCCATTGCTAGTAGCAACACAGGAGTAGATATTCTGGACCAAAAAAAAAAGATCCATCTATTTCTGCGTCTTGCCTAAAGGAGGTCTCAATACCAACTTCCTTAAAGAAGGATGTAAAAAAAAAAAAAAAAAGCCTACAGGTAATAGGTAATATAAATGTTTATGTTAGAATTCAGCAAATGCTAAGTTGTTTTTATTCCTCACAGAGAGAGAGCTAACCTGGCTATCAAACTTCCTTTGTGCAATTCCCCATCACTTTCAGCCAAAAAGGCCAACACCCACTGTATTTTAAGTGATTCCCCTGGCTTCAATGCCCCTCTCTGATCTGGAAGAATCACCACCACCACTTACACCAGAGCCTCTTAACAGTCCAACTCCCACTTCATAACCTGGGCCAATGTCCGAGGTAGTAGTTTTACCACTGGGAAAAATTAATCTTTCAGCAAGGACAATCAACAGGTGACCACAGGAGAGCACTGCTGGTGAGACAGGATCAGTCATAACTGGAAATTTCAGTACTTACGAAATTCTCTACCATGAGTTTTAGTCAACAGCTTCTTTCCACTACAGGTAATATATACAAGCTGCCCTCCTAAACAGAAAGGCTTACCTGTACTGAAGGAAATTTCTCTAACTACTTATAATGGTGCTTTAAGTACACAGTACTGCAAGAGCCTAGCCAAATGGAAAGTAAGAATTGCGAATCACAGGTAGCATGAGACTGGAGTAATCCTTTGCAAAAGACTGTGGGCACACTGCTCAGCACTCCTACCAACACAAAGCACCTATGGACTGTCCCTTCTGATAGAACTAGAATGAGTGAGGGTCCTCAGAAGGCTGGCAGTGCCCTGGAACCCACCGAAGCCAAACTTGCAGCAGCCTTGAAGAATTCCCATGGCATGATCTCTCCCACTCAGTTAAACACAGATGAAGTACAACTGCATTTTCCCTGTTTCCACAGAAAAGCAGCACTGAAGGTGACACCTAGACTCAGCTTTTCTGTCTTTTTTATTTTGCAGTCTAGTTTCTTCAGAGACAGCAGCCAGATCTAATATACTTAAGGAGTAGCCTCTTTTGAATCCCATCCAACCTGAAATACCGGCTTTGTTGGCCAGAGGCCCAGGTGAGGTTGTAACTGTGACACTACGTGCAGTATTGTGGCTTAACCTTTTCCCTCCCAGATTGCCAGAATGCATTTCAGCTCTTTTGACATCTTAGCAACAAAGATCACTTCATATGCAGCTTTTGATTTCACTTTCCATTTGAGCATGCCTAATGCACTGCTCTGCAGCAACTACAACCAGACCAGTTCTTTCCAAACTCTGAGTCAGATGCTGGGCTGTGTCTTGCAAGCACTCAGTCTCCCCAGCATCCCCAGAGCCAGAGGCTGCTGTACCAAGAGCCTGCAACCTGTGTCGGGAGGGGCTCAGCAGCACTCTCACCTTTGGCCAACTGCTCCCTCTGTTCCACCCTTACTGACTCAACCTCAAACAACAGCCAAGTGAACAATGTCCTTTTCTCTTCAACTGTTTGTCCAAATAAGAGTCTACAGGCTTACACACACACAGAATCCAGTCTGTTTGAACAGACTTATTTTCAGACAAGAGAATCCTGCAACTTCGGGGTAACTTGAGATGTTTATAAACATTTCTTCAGCCATGCCACAGCTAGTTGACTTAAAAAAATAAAAGTTAAACTAAGTGTTCAAACAAATTCCTGGGACACATTATCAGCAGCTGGGTCTGGCAGTTGGGAAACTCATTGTCTTTAAACACAGCAGCTGTTCAGGAGTTTCTTATTTGTTTCTCAGTTTCTCAGTTCCTTATTTGGGAAGACATTTTCTTCCCATATTTGGGAAGAAATTTTAAGAGGGCTTCATCTGCCATGAAAAAAACCCTTACAATAATACATACAATT